TGTGTGTCCGGGGTGTGGGGGGGCGTATGGGGCCAAACAAAGAGAGGGTTGGGGGGAGGTTGCATGCAGCCAGACACAGAGCGGGGGTGGCCCAGGGTGGTGGGTGGTGGCACTCCATCCCCGCCACCCACCCGTCATTCATAATGGACACTTGGCTAATAAATAAATTAATGGCTTCCTGCAAAAGCCAGGGATTGGATTCATTGTCTCAGGTGGTCTGTTTTGGTTCTACAATCCTATATTCCTATTTTTAAGCTACCACACTAAATTCTTACGTGAACATATGAGGCCAATATATTTGCATGTGAGCCTGTCTGATTCACGGGTGGTGCTCGGGGGCAGTATGCAAGATGAGACTCATTTCCCACACACTGAAACTCTTCAGTCCAGATTGGCCCTTGTCCTTCTCCAAAGTGAGCTCCTCCTGTCATGGATACAACTGCTCCACATTGTAGTTCATTACAAATCACACTGGCAGCTTTAGGATCAAAGTGGGAATCACTGACAGTAGCCCAAGTGTGTCCAAGTCTTATCACCAGACGTCCTGAGCAGGCATTGTCACCTTCAATCAGCCGGGGCTGTGTGTCACCTAGAGTCAATCAATCCATCAATGAATGGAACACTGAAACCCCTTGCCCTCCATTTCAGCTTTTAGTAAATGCAGATTTTTTTTTCAAAATTTTGCATTCAAAATAGTTTTAAAAATAGGGAATTACCTGTAAATACACACATTAATTGATTTTCTACTTCTTAATTATTTAATTTTTAACCAATCATGAGGGATAGGCACATGACTATTTTATTAAATACTTTGTTTTCTGATTAATTATTCTGATATTGCGTATTATACTGTTACTTATTGTTAACAAAAAGTTTTGTGGTTTCCACTTTCAGTTGAACAGGCAACAGCTTTAAATAATCCTACCACTTATACTCAAGAAAGAATACAGTAAGGCAGAAGAAGGAATAAGAAAAGCAAAGAGAGGAAGAAAGACAAGTTGTACTAGCTACAAACTGAAAGCTAAGGATCTACTCTTTCACTCTCTTGCAACGTGAATGATTTGTACTTGTGAAAAGTTATGCACACCCTCATTGACAATTCTAATAGCAATGTGAGCAGAAGAGTTATGGTTTGGAAACACTTCATATTCATGTTGCACAGCTGAAAAAAAAAAAAAACTACAGCAGGCTCCAAGGAAAGAAAAATTCAGTCTTGGTATTGGGAGGAACATGTCAACAGCCAGAGTGACTG